ACCGAATAATTTGTATGTGTCTTGTAGAAAAGAAATAATATTTCGCAGTGGTCATCGCCAATTTTCTTTATTTTACATTTAAGGTCAATTCTTTATCTTCTGCGCGTGGTTTGTCTCACATGTCACTATACTCAAATTCGGAAACGACCAAATTTCCAAGGATCATCACAAAGTAGTCACAATAGGAGCATAGGACGATTCGCGAATAATGTTTCAACTAAACGAAAAAAAAAAAAAGTTCTCTTTCTCTTTCTTGTTTAATTTTCTATCGCAATTTGACTCGAGTAAACCGTTGTAAAGTTAGCTTTATAAGTATTGAAGGTTTGACGAAAATTTTCCCTCTTTTATATTAAGATTTTTTACGAACAATGAAATCTAAGTTATTCTAAATTTCGCCATTTTAAAGTTTGCATTATTTCAGTTAGAAATAAAATGTACAAAATCTGCTAGGTTTTTTCTTAATGGAAATTTAAGCACTTTTTTAACGGCTTGTTAAAATTTGCCCTAGGGATTGGATAGAGTTCAGAAGATATACCCGTTTTTATGCGTTAACTCATCTTTTATTGGAGAAAAATTTCATTCTTATATATTCAAAATCCAACAAAAAAAGTTCCTCTTGACTGATTCTCAACAATAAGGGTACATTTATGAGATTTTTAAAAATCTTTTTTGTTATTGTTATCCCTAAAATCTACAAAAAGGAAATTTTCTATAAGAAAAAAGAAATAAAGGACACAATAACGATTGAGCCATTATCTGAAATTTATTCTTGAATTACCTTGTGTGTTAAAAAGATTGAAGAATGGTTTAAATCAAAATTTTAATATCCATTCAATATACATGCCAATAACATTATTATTTTATTTTAATCACAAATTAGTGAAAATATTTATCGAAACTTCGCATAGGATTAATTTATTTATAATGTAAATATATATATTTCTGCTTAAGTATTGTATTTCCTTAACAATAATAATATCAATATAAATCATGACAATAAGGATTTTTAAATGAAGGAAAATTGATACAAATGCATAATTTATGAGTATGGTGTCATAAAATATGCTATCACTTTGATGATTTCAATTTATCAGCCTTTAGTAATTGGTTTTCATTGATGCCCTCGACTTAATGAAAGTAAAATCTCTTTTAAAATCAAAACGCTTCTTCAACCACTCAAATTATTATCTGAGAAAAAATTGTATCGCCCGTCGCTTCAGTTTAATTAGACGATGTGGGGGAGACCGTAAATTAATTTATAAAAATGTGGCGATCAGAATTAATATAAGTTATAAATTTTAATTCAGGGCCCCATTTCGTTTCGTTAATAAATTGAAAGGGACATAAATTAATAGACGACTCGACTTTAGTAACAAAGAGTCTTGAATAAGAGGCAGGTCCTATATCAATTTATTGGATGCCACCTTGGATTATTTCGGTTTCTATTTAATTATAAATTATAATTATTTTAATCGCCATTAAACGACGTTTTCAGATCAGTTCACATGACAATCCTTTGATATTAACTTTTTTATACTCGAATTAAAAAGAATAATCGTTGATAATTATAATTTATATGACGTGTATTATACCAGTGCACGATTTTTAAAACTAATAAAAATAAAAGGAAAATATTAATTGAATAATGGCAACTAGGTTGATAAATAGTTTAAAAATATTTGGGTTTGTTCATGTTGACGTAATAATACAGCTAGTGGAATTACCTAACTTGTAAAATATGCATTAAAAAATGAAATTCATGTGAGGGGGTATTTATTGAACTTCACAACTCTTTGTTTCACTTTGTATTACCAATATTTCGAGGCATGATGGAGCTCAGAACAAGCATAGTATAATAAAAGGAGAAGGAGTTTCATCTTAAAAAATGAAATTGCTCGGTGCAGATTGAATGAATTAATTTAACTACGAATAGTAAATTTTGAAATGGAAACGAGCTTCAACAATTATTTTATAGTTTTTGACGAGGGCACTAACAATAAAAGAAATTATATACTAGTACTAATGTTAAGCATTAATTATTTACTAAGCTCTAGATGGCAGTGACAGTGAAGAAGGCAAATGCGGAAACGCGTCTGATCAACCCAGCTACGATAGGCAGACCAAGATTCTTCTAAATCGGAAGTACATGTACTAATAATTTACTAACCATACATTTAACTTAATAAAAGTGAAATAGCTTTAAAAGAAGATACAGTTAAAAATTTGTTGAACAATATTTTAACGAGTCCATTTTGAGTAATATGTAATTTCTCAAGTTCATTCTTATAGTTAGTACCTCCCTAGGCTACAATGTTAAATGTTATCATAGCCTTACAAGAGCAAAATGTACGGTTTTTATGGCATCTGGTTTTAATCTATACCATAAAGTTATAGAGTTAATGTAATAGCTTTCGAATTTTTTAAATTAACTATTCAATATGCAAAGTAATCTCAAATTGCAATCAAACTGCACACTAAAACATTAACACTACAAGACCAAAACCTAACAATTTTATTGAATAATAGTCAGTTGTGTGTGGTGTTTAATGACAGTTTATTAATGATTATATGGATTATATTTCTAAACCTACGTAAATCAGACCGCATCTCACGATCTCTAAATAATCAATAGTCAGTTGTTTAATTAAATTTTAAACAAGAATGAATAATAATATAAGGGACTTCATTTTCCCAAACTTTAAACATAACCTACGAAAATTTTATTGAATTTCTCTGTACTTAGAAAAAGAAGTCATTTTTGTATTATAGGCTTGTTGTATTATAAGTTACATTTAATTTGATTTCCTATGTTATTGACAGAAAATGTACAGCGGTATGATCAGGAAATCCAAAAAGCCGACATTTGATGTCCATTTTAAACAAATCATTTGTTGATATTACAAAACAAATTTAGTCAATGAGGAAATTCTACATTTACAAAATCTTCAAAGCATAGTGAGTTTTATTTTAGTCCTTTGTATGCGTGCAATCATGTAAGTACAATGTTATAAATCTTACAAATAAGTCCAGGTTCAAAGAAGCCAACACCCTATAAATCCATTTAGTTTTTTATTTACACGTGTGGCAATTGCTGCGCTTAAGATTATTTGGTAATATAAAAAAATAATACTAAAACTATACACTTAGGAGGTCGCGGGGCCAGTGACAGTTCATCGAGGTGTATTTCTTGGAAGGTTGCGGGATGAAAGGTGCCTGTGAGGGATAGCTGATTGCAGTAGCTGGTGTAGTAGGTTGGATACTATTGTAGTAGTTGGGAACTTCCTTCGAAGGTTGAATGTCACATGTTACCATTTTTGTACGGTTATTGACATATTCCATTGCTTGAACTGCAAGGGATGTGACATGTTTGCAGGTTTCCTGTTAAGTTGAGAGCAAAGGATGGATCATTCGTATAGTTGGTAAGGATAGTTTCAGAAAAGGTAGGTATATCTCCGGTGTACAGTGTACAGAGGATGGATCCTATGATACTTCCTTGTGGTACCCCTGCATCTGTGCGAAAGCCGGATGATAGAGGGAGGCCACTGGTGATTTCAAAATATCTGTCGTTAGATAGGATCTTAGGAACAGTTAATAGGTAAAATGGAGGATTCTTTTAAGCACTTTCGCTCAAGAGCCGTAGCGATGATTTCTACAACGCGATGGCACTGATGAATAGAGGTCTGAGAACGTTTTCGCACAAACTGGGGCATTGTCATATATATAAACAAATGGCAAAATTTAAAATGAAACACAGCTTTCATAAGAAGTAAATGTTGATAATACCATTTAAACAAGACATAACATAATAATAGAATAAAACGGTCCGAATGTAAAAACAAAGACAGGAAAAAAATATGTTCTTTAAAATATATTCTTTTAAAAGTTCCAATACATTAAACTATTAGCTATGTTTAATAGCCAAAGCTATTAAACTTTTTTTTTTTTTTTTTTTTTTTTTTTTTTTTNCGTGTGTCAACCGTGTATGGCCTATTCTTAATCGCGTTAGGACGATTCCTTGTTTCCGGCTCAGGTTCTCGGGGGGCCATCTACGAATCATGCTCTTGACGCGCAAAAGCAACATTTATTAATAACCTGAATAGTGAATCGACCTTTTCAGTTGGTCAAATACCATAAACTAACAAACCAACCTATGAAGATAGCCAGAAACGTCTGACAGACCAAAATGATGGAAAATGACGAACGTTTAACTAAGCGGTTATTCTTATTTTCGCAAAAAATCAATATTTCAATTTAAAATAATCTGATCGTAATCCGAAACGCTAACACTAATGAAAATCACCTTTTGGAACAAAAAAATAATGCCATACGTTTTTGGAACACTGATGAAGGTATGGTCTTGAAGAAGAAAAAGAAAGCATATTTAGTTGCTAATGGCAAGCTTTCGGCCTATTTTAAGGTCATCGTCAGGGCCTATATTAAATTCACACTATGAAAAACATTCGTAAAATGAATTTATGGAATGTTGTATATAAAAAACAAACAAACAGAAAATATAAAATCGAATGTATGATCGTGTTTATGATTGTGGCGACTGGTACCGGACCATCAAAACATTCAGTATCAAGTAGGCAAAAATTTGACTTTTACAATGTTGAAATAATTGAGAAAGAGTCTCACTCAGAAGAATTATAATTACTCAGAAGAAGAAAAAAAGAAGTTCCACATACTTAAATGGAGAATAATAATTGTAACATTCAAACAGATACTATGGGCTTAAGGTCAATTTATGAAGGTCATATTAATTTTAAAAAGAGGTCTTTGATAACAAGAGGAGAACCTACGTTAAAAAAATTGAATACAGTATTCCCTTAACATTCGCGGGGGTTTGGTTCCTAAAAATTACCGTGAATGTTAAATCCGCGAATGTTGAGTCTATTTTCCNACAAATGAGTAATCCTGTAAACGTAAACAGAATATTTTATATAGATTTTTTTTAATGAAAACTTAAAATCCTGCATTATTTTCCGGACAACCCAATATCTAAGAACCCCTGTTCCGCTTCAAATATTAAATTAGATATGTGTTTATTTTTATGATAAAATGACATAAAACCTTCAAACCTCCACCCGTTTAAAATAAATTGTACATTATTAATACAAACATTTATGTTTTTCTCTTTTTGATATAAAACGAGTTATAGGATTTTTATACCATAAATTGCACGTTGTTATTCTTTCTGGTGCTGAGATGGCATAATTGTGTATTATTTTCGATATAACCTCGGAAGATTTCCTCCTTTGGACGTCTGGTTGTTCGTCTGCTTTTTTTCTGACAATTTCCGCTAGAGCTATCATTCTTTGAAAAATTGGAGATGTTGATTGCATTCTCATTGTTACCTTCACAGTGGAAACTCTCCAATACTCCTTCGGGTTCAAGTTGTGTATCGCTGCACATGGAACACATTCGAACTTTATCAGTTGATCCCAATCGTTCCGCTCCTCCCATCTCCAAGTATATTCGGCGTACAGTAATCCCTTAACATTCGCGGGGGTTTGGTTCCTGAAAATTATCGTGAATGTTAAATCCGCGAATGTTGAGTCTATTTTCCTATGTTTTAAGGAGGGTTATGTTCCATGACTGAAAAAATTGTGATGTTTTAAATCAAAAGAATTTATTTGAAATACATTTGTACAAAAACATTTCCTTATCTATGTACATTAAAAATTAAATGTTTAACTTGTATTTTTAGACGTGGATGGAAGAAAATAGCTGCTAATAGTTCGCTGTTTCGCACAAAAATTCAGTTCTTTCAGCATTTCCACATAAGGAATGGAAGCGGCCTCGACATCCCTTTTAAATTGTAAACTTCGGTTCAATGATGGGTCCAAATCCATTGTCTTTTGAACAAGTTGGTCCCTTATCGTTAGAATTTCTCTGATCTGTTTTGCAGAAAAACTTGGGCCTGAGAGAAAATATTAAATGAATAGAAATGCCAATAGTAAAAACTTGCCAGACTTACTCTTTTCACCACCCCGACTCTCATCTTCACGTTCAACTTCTTCACATTCCTTAGAGTCCTCTTCTTTTTGCAGCATCAGGTCTTCATCCGATAACTCTTTTTCATGAGAATTAAGCAATTCATCAATTTCGTCTGCTCTCATATCATCAAATCCTTCTACAATCTGGTGCGCTATGCGGACGATTTCTTTCTCATCTTGAAGTGGTGGAAAAGCGTTATCTTTTTTAACCACTTGAGGTCATAGCTTTCTTCAGCAAGCGTTGATTGTACTTGGCTTCATTTCCTGCCAAGAAGCATCTATGTCTTCAATGCAATTCGCAATGTTAAATTTCTGCCATGAGTTAGACACAGTTTCTTCGGCATTACACTCAATGGAATTTAAAATTCGCTTAAAACTGTGTTTGGTATAATATGCCTTGAAAGCTGCTATAACCCCTTGGTCCAGAGGTTGTATCAACGAAGTCGTATTTGGGGGCAAAAAAATAACTTCCACATTTGGATGACTTCCTATTAAACTTGAAGGATGACCAGGAGCGTTGTCAATTAGAAGCAGAGCCTTAAATTCCAGATTTTGGGAAGCTAGATATTTTTTTATTTCGTTGATAAAAGAGAAATGAAACCATATTTGGAATAAGGAACTAGAGTCACCCATGCTTTGGTGTTTGATCTCCAAAAAACTGGGAGCTCATCTTTACTTTTTCCCTTAAGGGCTCTTGGGTTTTGGGATCTGTAGATCAATGTCGCCTTTAGCTTGCAATCACCAGATGCATTGCACAAAGTAATAAGCTGATACGATCTTTGGCCGCCTTAAATCCTGGAGCTGTTGTTTCTGCTTTTGAAATGAACGATTCGGCATCTTCAAAGAATATTGTTGTCTGTCAGAATTTTTTTGTTTACTCAAGTGTTATTTTTCCGCGAATGCACAAGTCCGACCTTCCGTGAATGTTAAATCTTACCTCATTTTTTCATACGCGAATAGTGAAAACCGCAAATGTCAAACCCGCGAATGTTAAGGGATTACTGTATTTTTATTAATACCATTATCTTTATATTATATTATTAATCTGTAGACATATTTAAGGTGGTTTTGTAAGTCCTATACAGGACATTTTGATTGTTACACCAATTGTACAAATATGTTTTTCATAATGCGAAATTAATATAGGCCCTGATGATGACCTTTAAATTGGTCGAAAGCATTAGCAACTAAATCTGTTTTCTTCTTCTTCAAGAACACACCCTGGTCCAGAGTATTCGTAAGTGAAAAAGTGGTTGATAGTTCTAATACTGAAAACAAATGGAAAAGTAGACCAGTTTCTTTTTACATGTAGCAACAACCATCAGTTAATAACATACATTTCTGGCCATCAGTTAATAAATTAGAAGTAAAAAAATAATTAATAGGAACCCTGTTAATTACTGCGCTCAATAGTTGATCAATTTCCGTAGTTATTTATGATTTAAAGTTATTTCACGATTATTGTTAAACTTAATTTTAAATAATTAATTTAATAGGTTTTTGATGAAAAGAAAGGCAAGTTTTGTTGAAAGAACAACCTGCTGTTGTTCTCTAAACAGCCTATTTTCCTGTCTATCAATATTGAAAAAAAATTATTGTTGAACTGATTGACACTGTTCGCTTTACTGCGTCCGTCTACCCTCAGCGGTTTACGTTTCACTCAAATGCGTCCATCAATCAGTGTCGAACGGCTTAACGTATATTCACCAACTCGCAGACCAACCACCTTTACATTTCATTGGTTGCAGAAGAGGTTGTGATTTTAAGTAAGTATGCTTTTTGTTTATAGGACACTTTTTCCTTTCTTTTCTATCACCTTCTCAAAATAGCTTTACTGACTATTTTGAAAAATACTTACAATTGTTTGTTTTGCCAAAAAGGGTTTATTTTGCAGAGATTTTTAAAACTGGATTCTCTCCTTCATCTCTCTTTTTCGCTCTCAACTTTCGCTCTCCGTCTCGTGTCCTATTTACAAGGACGGAGTATCCATCCAGCGCCCGGGGGCAAAAACAGTCATTCCGTTTCAGCCGGTTTCCCCGGGCCAACGTGAAAAAATTATACGGTTTTTGTCATCTCAAATTAGCATCCGGACGTCGACAAATGCCAGGGCATCCTTCAGGCTGAGAGCGGCGGGGAAAAACAGTCGCGCCCCCCCAAAAAAGACCGTTCCAAAGCTTCCGTAACAGTCGCAAAGGGCATTACTCAAGCTTTGAGATAGTGGGGCCCCTCTTGAAGGCTCCGCAAGACATATTGCTCCCGTCTCCAAATGTATGCTTCACCGCCGACGTAGATGGATACGGTGTCATTTGTAGCATGAGATATTCAGTTAGTCCTAATGGCCTCCGGCCCGAGGATTAATTCCCTTCACTTCTCTCTCATTAGTGAATATTCTCGGGCCGATTCCGGGGAAAATCTATGTTGCCAGTTTCTCTTTAAATAGTCCTCAGGGACGCATTAACGACAAGATATGTTACTGATGATGGGTTAAAATTTGTTGGTGATTGAACGATTTTTCTCTTACTCCTCCCACTAATACTACAAAAAAAACTGAAAATGAATAGTAATAAATATTAATGTATTTGTAAAAGTAAAATAAATAATATACAGGGTGTATCAATTTCTATAGTCTGCCCAATTAATTCGGAAACGATTAACTTTAGCAAAAAATGGTCTTATACAAACCCCAAGTTAATTTTGGCTAGCAAATCGCGTGGTGGTAACAGTGGTGAAACAATAAGTATGCTGTAACAGCAGTAGGTACGAAATATGTAACCAATAATATATCCTAGAGAGGTGTCTGTTCTCAGTAATGCTTACAGCAGAAAATCATGATGCCAAACACAATTGGGTTTGTCAGGTTTATCAACTACTAAGTACGAAAAATCTTGAGCCAGCGGGAGACTCGCATTGGCGGTGGATTTTGAGCTAATTAGTTTAGAATGGTGTGGTATATGATTTTTGTATGTTTTTAGATTGATTCAAGAAACGTGGAGATGTAAGAAACCAGTGTCATGATCCTGAGGGCTTGATTTTGACTGTTGGCAGCAGGATCCTTCGGCCAAATAGGTCAGACTAGACACATGTATAAATTTCGCGAGTGTAATCGGGGAACGTACAGGTGTCTGAGGTTTGGATTTTATTTTACATTTTGGAGAGAAGATTTATGTGGACAGCTCAAGTTAATTTTTCGTCCAAGTGGATTCCCAGATGTCTAACACGTTCCTCACAAGGAAAATGCTACCCATTAAATGTCACGTGAGGAATGTCCCATCTTTTTCGGCAGGTGAATATTAAAAGAGACGATTTATGGGATTCATGACGATTCCCAATGTTTTACGTCACTTGAAAATGTCTGTGACTTCTGGCTTCCTCTCGTGTTTTATTGCTGGTAAAGCGGCAACATCGTCAGCAGATTACACCTACATTCCAAATTTACCGGCAAATATAAAATAAACAAATTGCAACCATAAAAGCCTTCAGCAAATGGCATTCGACTTATACTTTGGATGTTAATTTTGGTAGATTTCTTCTTGAGGTCTGCGAATTAATAATGCTGTAGGTGTGGCTTCCCTGCAAAAGGATTCTGTCAAATAGTTGGTATGTATCTGGGATGTCTTGGCATGCCAGACGGACTAATAATTACCTGCCCGTTTATGGACTTTTGTCAAATTGCTTTTCCATACTATAAAAACTTCTCCGGTGTTTGCAATTACATAAAAAACTTTGTCCAATACCATATTGTGTAAAGGAATATTCCCAGATAATGTTTTTATTGAAGTTTATAAGTTTTCGTTTATGTTAGCCTGCCTATTCTTTCTGTTTTGGTCTGCCATCTGCTGTAGTAGCCCGGGGCAGTTTGATAAAAGGCAGCACCTATACGTTTTTCCTGTTAGATGCTTGTCACTATTCTAGGCAACTTATCGACCAGGTAAGGTATGACTGTACGAAGTCAGGAGATCCACCACCTTGTCCAATGCCGTTTCTGTGTCCGCGCGACTCTTTGGTTGTAGAGTGGTCGATTCCGTCCATCTACTTGCCTGGTCTTTCTGTTTTGGACTGTTAGACGCTACAGTACCAAGTGGATTGATAAGAAGCTACATCTTTGAAGACATTGTCGGGTAAGTGCGACTCAAGCTTTTACAAAATACAAACACTTTTCTGTGTCCGTGAATATTCCCAGGCAACTATTTCATGCTGGTCATATTAGAGTTTCGGTTTGCCAAATGCTGAAGCCAGATGGATTGATAAGAAGCTGTATATACACGTTTTTCTTGTCAGCTTGAGGATCAGTAATCTGGGGCCCTTATCGAGTTGGTAAAGCTGAAGGTTGTACAAAGCGGCATCCCAAACTTTGTTCAGCGCTTTATCTATGTCTAGTAACGTTCCCAGGCTACTCTTTGTTTTAGTTTGGTCGATTCCGTTAACGTTGGTCTACATATAGTCTATGTTTTGATGTGTCCAGAGGTGGGTACTAAAAAGAAACAGCACAATAAAATGATGGACTACGACCAAACTGTAGATTATACATCAAATACATGTAGATAAATACATATAATCGAAGAATTTAAGCAAAAATGTCGTGTATACCACACCGTGAAGACGGTGAATAGCTGAGTGTGTTGCTCCAAATCCTATTTATCTACTAAAACTTGAAAAAAAGTTGGGGAGTTTTTAGTTAAGATAAAAAACTTAGTGTCACGAGCGGGATTCGAACCCACGACCTTCGGCTAGATACGCCGCTACTCTACCACTTGAGCTATCGTGACTTCGTCCACTCGGACACCAACTTCCCATCTCAACCCCACCTTTTGAATTTTCCCTCCTTTTTGCCATTTTTCAATTTTTATCTCAACTAAAAACCTTAATTAATTGAAAGATATTAATTGGTCAAGCGGACCACGAAAAATAGTGAATTTAATAAGTTAAAATGAATTATACCTTCACTAAAACTCTCCGTGGCCATTTCATTTGTCGCCGATAATCAAATAGATTACACATATGAAAAATGGCAAAAAGGAGGGGAAATTCAAAACTAGTGAACTTCATTTAAATTTTGCCATACCTTCAGACTTCTTTTTATCCTTGCTTTTGTATCCTTACTATATTATGTATGAATCAAAATTAGCTGGGCATTTAATTTTTTTTAAATATCAGTCATCAAAATGAGCTATGCTTGTCCTGTGTTTTCTGATAAAAATGAGGTTTTAATTGAGAAGGCCAATTTAAGAAAAATCTTTTGGCTATCTGATTAAAGAAAGCCTGTAGAAAACAGGTGCTACCCAGATGACTTGCTTTGAGAGAAAAAATATATGTACATAAAAAATCTAGTCTTTTATAAAAGCCGACATATCAAACGCCCTGCGGTCGCAATCCGATCCGGCAACATGTCAGATATCAGCCAACAATCTCCGAGAGAATAATTAATTCTAGCCTTTCTTCATAAGCAACAGCCCGGAATGACAGGATGCCAGGTGCCATCGGCCTTTATTTAGAACAGTCAGTCCAGTTTAGGGGACGGAGTTCTTCGCGACAGCTACATGAATTTATGCAATCGACTTTGTTATCGCACCGACGGAAAATCGAGCAAGCGTTCATTAAACCCTCATTTGGTGGGAAACAAACAGGCGGATACATATAACATGCTAAGAGGCATTCCATTGAATAACAACTATATATATATATATATATATATATATATAAACTGATTATCATTAGTCGTTTTAGTCTCTTAAAAATCTGTGAAGATTACGTATGGTAATTATTTTTAAACAGAAATGTAAAGATTAAGAAGCAAAAATACAAATTACAATTTGTTAATTTTATCTAAACATCTACAAATCGCAGTAACCTCTGACATATACCATATTCCGTTATTTAGGACAATTAAACGAATATTAGTCCAATGTCTGAAAGTGATAACCTCGGGCCAAGGAACCCATCATTTTACACGGATAGTCGGCGACTAAACGGTCAAAAAATAAAGAAAAAAACATT